GCGCCTCTCCCGGCGCGCTCGGGGGGGGGAGCCCAGCGCCGATGCACGAGACTCGCGCAGACCTCCGGGAGTTGATGCTGATGCTCCCGTCCCCAGGCAGGCCCTTGCGGAGTGCAAGGGGCCCGCAGACACATGTCTTTGGCAGAGGTCCAGCTGTCTTTCGCGATGCGCTGATCCCGATGCTGATCCGTATCCTGATCCTCCCCTCCCTCCCTCCACCCTCGCGGCCGCAGGCTCATTTGCGCTTTCCGTTGCCTGGGCCGCCTGCGCGCGTGCGGACTGCCTCTGCCGTGCTGCGACGTAACACCGTCCCTCTTCTCCTTCTGGAGAGCAGGGTAAGGGGGCGGATTCGCACGAGGTGGACGAGGAGGAGGAGGCGGAGGCAAAGGCGGAGGCCGATGAGGAGGCGCATGAGGAAGGAGTAGGGGCTTCATGAGTAATGGGATGTTGACGTCGATGATGGTGACGATGACGATGATGACGACGTTGACGATGTTGGCGACTACGGTGCGTATGACGATGATGGTGATGATTGTCATGGCGGTGTAACTGATGAGCAGGATGGCGACGATGACAATGATGACGGTAACGCTCCATGATACTATTGACGACGATGGTGAGGATGACGACCGTGATGATGATGTCAACAAGGATGAAGATCATGGTATTGGTGATGAGAATGAATGACGTTAGCGGCGATGGTGGTGATGATGATGGTGGAGATGATGATGACTATTATTCTTCTTATGATTATTATGAGGATGATGGTGATGATGATGATGATGCAGATGCTGATGCTGATGCTGATGCTGATGACGATGATGATGAGGATGATGAGGAGGATGATGGTGATGATGCTGATGCTGATGACGATGATAATGAGGATGATGAGGATGATGGTGATGATGATGATGATGATGATGATGATGGTGATGATGATGATGATGATGATGATGATGATGATGATGATTATGATGATGATGATGATGATGGTTGTGATGAGGACGACGGTGGCGATGGCGACGACGACGATCGATAATCTTGATAGCGCGAGTGATATTATGTGTGATGATGTTGATGAAGACTATGATGAGTATGATGGTGATTACGATGAGCAGGATTGGGGCCTTGACTCCGCGTCGACAGGGCGTTACCCTGGTGGTCAACTACGACACTGCCAATAGCACCGAAGACCACGTCCATCGCATCGGCCGCACCGGGCGCGCTGGCATGTCTGGGCGCAGCGTCACCTTCGTCACGCGCTCTGGCGAGGACCGCGTGCTATTCGCCATGAGCCCTGACACCGCTTTGCGAAGACATGTCACGACGGAAGGTTTTGTTGGCAACTCTTGTCGGCCTCCGGGAGCGCTCACCGGGCCCCAGGACCGTCAAAAAGTGGCCGAGGGTGAAAACCGGTCCAGGGGACAGGATCCGAATAAGAAATGAGACGTCGGATTTCTCGGGAGGGTCCTGAGGGAAGCGGGCCCCGCGATCGTTTTCGGGCCTCCCTGGGCCCCCTCCAGCCGGGCCCCAGAAGTGGCGGAGGAAGCAGCTCGGGTGAGGAGCTGGTCCCCACGGGACCCCATTTCCCTCGGAGCCCGGTTCCCCTAAATGGCAAGGGTGCCATGGAAGGCAGGGGAGGAAGCGCCACCCCGACTCCCAAAATTGGAGTTTACTCAACGGCCCTGGTCGTTTACGAATCGGCCCTGTCCTGTGCGATTCCTTTCATGGGTGCGCTTGCAGTTGGACCGCATGACAAAAGCTGGGTGCCCAGGGATTCGTGGGCTTGAGTTCGGCGTGGAAGGTGGTACCAATCTTGACGAAGCTGAAAATTGCAGGGCACCCTGGATTTCTAGGGCGTCGGTGCGTCTCGGAGCGCGCGACCGAACCTCCAAGAGATTTCCGAGCATTTGGGGTATCTTGGGCTTCTTCGCCCGCCACCCAGGGTGTTCGTCCCGCGTTGCTTTTCCCCCAGTGCGACGCATCTATGTGCGGGGCTCGTGTGTCTGACGTGGGAGCGCGGGAGCGCTGGCGCATGCGGGGCGCATGCCGGATATTCCAAGAAACTGAGCTGAATCGTGAGTGCTTTGGGCTTCATCGTCTACCCTAACCAAGGTCAGATGTGCGCTGTTTGTTCGGGCGGGGAGAAGCCGTCATCTTTCTGTTTACGCAGGGCCCGAAGCTTGCATTTTCGATCGTCTTGGGCGTTTTGCTGTCACAGTGCTCGACGCAGGCGATCAAGACGCCGCTCGGGTCAGGTTACCCTGGCTATCTTCGTTTTGTCCGAAATGCAAGACGCAACCTTGGACCAGAAAGCCCCTGCGGATTTCAGGCGTTGGATTTCTTGCGGCGGGCTTCGTGTGGATGAAGCTCCACTGTGCTTGACGGCTTCGCTGGTCGGGATGCCTTTTTTGCTGTTTTTTTTTGGGGGGGGGGTCTGCTTCGTAGGAGATGAGGAGTTCTGGCGGCCCGCGTGGATGCAGTGGAGGGCAAGGAGCGCGGTGGAGTGGGCCAGGGCTCGAGCTGAACGGTGCTCTGGCAGTCTCGTGGACCGTTGTCGTTTCGACCTCGTCTCGCAGCAGAGGCAGGACGAAGACGGACCGAAGGACAACGAAAGCAGAACGAGCACGAAACAACCCTGTTCGGCTCGAGCCCTGGAGTGGGCTGCGCGCAGGAGTGCGGGAGCACCGCAGGCCATGGAACGGAGGGGGGCGGGCGCGGCGGGGGGAGCGGCCCCGCTGGGAAGGCGGGGGGGTGCTTGGAAGGCAGGGCCCTCCTCAGGAGGCACCCGGGGTTGGAGCTGGGCTGGGGGTCTCAGGCGGCCCCGCCTCGGTTCTGGCGAGCAGGCAGGGGGGGGGAGAAGGCTCGAGCTTCTGGGTTCGCGGAGGTTTCTTGTGTTTTTCTGTCTCCAGGGACCGTTTTCGGGCCCCGGGACCGTCAGACACGGATCCGGGGTAAGACATTGCACCAGATGGACCCCGTGAGGGGTGCAGGGGCAGATTTTGATTGGATTTGGCTTCATTTTTCCCTCCCTGACCCGTTTTCTGAGGTCCTAGCCAGTTCAGGCCACCAGGCCGCCTCCAACCGTAGGCTTCGGAGGAGGCTTCTCGGAAGCCGGGGGGGAGCTTGTGAGAAGGCCCCTGCCTTCTGAGAAGACCCCGCCTTCTCAGAAGGCCGCCCCCCTCGCGCCACCCCCTGATGCAGGGCAACGAGAATTATCCAGATCCACGACCCCAGGCCTGGTCCATCCTGTGCCCAGGAGCGGTGTAGATGCATCCCTGGCTGGTATTTTATCCCGTCTTCGATGCTGTCCTCGATGAGCGCACATCCCTGGCCGAGAAAGGCGGGCATATACACCAGTCCTGGGCCCAGGATGGACCAGGCTTGGGGTGGTGGATATCTATGGGTCTTGTTTCCCGCCTGGTGCGCGCCGTCGAGATTGGAGGAGGAGGGGATCAGATCGGACTCGTGGAGGTCCAGCCTCGCCTCGACAGCACCGCAGTTGCTGCTGCTGAGCTTCTTCCTGAGAACCCGGATCGGCGAGACACTGGGCGGCGAGACACTGGGGGTCGTCCACCCTGCAGGGCGGCCCCCGCACTCTGGCAGAGCCGCACTGCCCGTGTGGAGGCATCCCCCAGATAGGCACGTAGCGCCAAAGACCCCTGGCCCCTTCGAGGAGACCGATTAACCTTGCTCTCTCCGCCCGTCCGAAAGTTTGAGGAGAAGACGCTGGCGGTTGAATGCGTCGTGAGCGCGTTCTTGATGTGCACTCATTCGACATGCGCGGTAGGTTGAGCAGTCTTCGATTCCGATGCACGCATGATTTGCCAGAGCGCAGCTCTTACAGCAAGCATATGGGAGTGCGGATGCTACGTGCGAGGAAGATATGGCTTTCAGACGACATTGTTGTTTTGGGGGCCTCCTGGGGGATCGTGTCGCCACGGCTGAGTGTGCTCTGAGATTCCGGCCCGAACGCCCTCCAGGGGAGATCTGGGGGCCGGTGAGGAGAGGGACCGCGCCCATCCCAATCATCAAGGCAGAAAGCAGATCTCCCAAGGCTACCATTGCGGGACCAGTCTTGCCACCACCTTGCTGCCCGCGTCGCATTCACGGGCTTTGGTAGACAGGCGCATGTCGGCGCTAAAAATTGAGGATCGTCGAGTTTGGTTGCGGACCTTCCCCCTCGAGGAGGCCCAATCCCGATGCGTGGTACCTTTCCATGCTTGCCGGCCCTTGGTATGTTGGTCCGCGCTCTCGGGAGCGTGTGCTCTTTTCGCCCTCGGGCCGTCCTCTCTGGACGAAGGCCTCCAGACGCCAGAACGGCGAGGCCCTCCCGTTTAGTTTTTTTCGCACGACGCTGGATGTTCGGGACCTCCTTGAGAAAGTCTCTTAAAATATCTAGAGGGGCAGAGTGGCCTTTGGCCTGTCCCGTCGCCTGGGCCGGGGATCAGTTTTTCATATCGGTCTTCATTTGAGGGCCACTGTGGAATCTGTTGGTCTTCTCTTGGAAACTTCGGGGTCCTCTTGGGAGGATCTTGTGAGCCTCTTGGGCTGCCTTGGTCGCCCTTAAGAGAAGGAAGCGGACATGCGATATTCATACAGAAACGCATGAGGACGGCCTCCAAGACGGCCCATGAAGCACCCCAAGAGAGTCCCAGGACGGTGCCTCGGGGTTATCGTGGGACACGTTGGAGCGAGCCCAAGAGGGTCAATGACTTCAGAACTCTGCGGCTTGGGGCCCTTCTAAAAAGCACTTGCAGTACTCCCCGCAGAGAGCTCGAAGGGCCCTGAGGACACTGCATGCAGCGCTTCGAGGCACGGTGGCGGAGAAGAGGCAGATGGGTGACGAGGCGGCCGAGGCGTCAAGGGAGGGCCTTCCTCCCCCGCAGCCACCCTGGCTCGAGCGGGCAGGGCAAACTTCGCGTTTGTGACCCCCTCTGCGCTGAGAGGATCCGCCGCCTCGGAGGGCCTTCGAGCGGGAGGGTCCGCGCTGTCTCCCGATGGGCGTGGCGCTGACGTCGCTGTGCATGCCGGTGCCCGAGGAGGTGTCGCTAGTCATGGTGGGGCTTGACGCCGCCGGCAAGACCTCCATCCTGTATAGGTGGATCGAAGAACTAGCGGGCGAAGAAAGGTATAAAACCAACTTTTCCGTCACCGGGGGTGCTGCCCCAGGGCGGCTGGAAAGTTTATACCTTGACGTGTCGCCGTAAGGGTAGAAACTTTCCAGCCGCCCTGGGACAGGCGCCCACGACAGCAAAACAGCTGATTTTACACCGTTCCTCGCCCGTGAAGCGAAGAGCCGGCGGCATCGGCATAAGCTGCCGGAGGTCCGCGCGGACCTCTCGGATTGGCGCTGGGCCCGCCTGGCGGCGTCCTTCCGGCGCCGCCCCCTGAACGCTCCGCGCATCAGGGTTAAGTCGGGCGTGTCCCTCTACAGGAGGTAATTTCAAAAAAAGTCAAAAAATCGTCAGGAGACGTTTTCTGGAGTTTGTTTTGACCATTTGGGAATCTGTTTTGACGGTTCTCAATTTTTCATCCACAACCCGCCTGTAGGGGGACATGCCCGACCTAACTCCAGGGAGGGGGTCTGGTGCCGATCCAGGGGATCCGCGCGGACCTCCTGGAGTTTGTGTTTCTGCATTTGTGCATATGTTTCTTCCTCGAGGCTGAAGCTGGACCAGGCGGTCACGACGATGCCGACGATCGGCTTCAACGTCGAGACCGTCTCCCGCGGGAACCTGAACATGAGGATCTGGGACGTGGGCGGCCAGTCCAAGATACGGAGGTCATGGCGCCACTTCTCAACGGGTGCAGTCGGCGTCATCTTCGTCGTAGACAGCAGCGACCACGAGCGAATGGAGGAGGCCCGTGAGGAACTGCACAACCTCCTGAGGGAGGAGCAGATGCAGGAGGCGACCGTGCTGGTCTACGCGAACAAGCAAGACGTACCACAGGCTCTGGTGGCCTCTGAGGTGGCCGACCGCCTTGGGCTGCACAGCCTGCGGAGCAAGTCTTGGTTTGTCCAGGAGGCCAGCGCAACGGGTGGAGCGGGTACGGCCGAGGGGCTCGACTGGCTCACGCGCGAGGTGCGCAGCAGGCTGAAGGAGATCTGCTAGCCTGCGGATGGACAGGCCGGAATTCCGAAGGGCATGACCGTGCACGCTTCTGCTGCGGCCTACGTTGGGAAGCCTGAGTTCCAGGCCCTGCCAGGTCCGCCGCGATGAGAATTCATGAATACTTCAATCCAGCACTGCATTTGCAGTCCCGAACAGACGGGAGGCATACGTACAGGATGCGAGGCTGGTGTTTGCGCCATGTGCGGCAGTCGTTCCAAAGTCCAGGATGCGTACTGCAGCGGAGAATGCTTTGTAATCGTTGGTGTGATCTCTGCGGATATTCCCGCCCGTCCTGCCTGTCTTTTTGCGGTTTCAAACATGTAAGTCTCTGGCAGCGTCTGTCGGCTATCACTCAAATCTTCCAGTAATTGGTGCTTGTGTGTTGCAGCCCGTGTTGGGCCAGCGACGAAGGGAGATGATGACCCGGGTTCTGTCGATGTCACAGCCGGCCGGGCCCATGGCATCTCCTGGATGTCGTGGCCCCTCTTCTTCTTCTTCGTCTTCTTCTTATATCAACACGATTCCTGGCCGCCCCCTCGTCCGCGCTGGCGCCCTGGGCCATGGTGCTTTAGACCCTCTCTTCCTGGCCCGACTGTAGGTCTGGTGTTTTTTTCGGGCGGCGGCCCGTCATGATAGAAGCTGAGGCGCGGCGGGACGCAGCAGCCAGGAGTCCTGCTAGCTGCGCTTCGACGATGGGCCGCCTGAGTCAGTCGCCTTTTTGGCAGATCAGGCGAGTGCCGGTAATCAGGGCCTCTCACATGCATGCCCAGACCTCCGACGTCATTTTTTTTTTTTTGAAAAGTGTAGACGATCTCGAGGGTTTTGGGCGGTCGGGCGGGGCTTGGTGGGTCCTGAGAGGCCCTCCTCCTCGAGGATGTGGCGACCCCCCCAGTGGTGACCCCCCCTTGGCCTGGCCTGGCCTTTGAGGGCTAACGGGCCAGGCCCCCCGAATTTCAAAGTTGCTGACAACATGCCCGTCGTTTTGTTGTTGTCGTCTTCGAATTTTCACTTCTGAAGAATAATTATTGTTGATCCCCCCCCACCAGTGCATACTGTTTTTTCTCAATCAAAGTGTGCCCCTCGACGCTCGCACCCTGTTTTTTGACAGGGAAAGTCTTGATGCTCAAACTGGGCCCCTGGTCCCCGGGTTACAACAACAACGGCTCCCGCCTCAGACTTCCTTACAATTTCGCCAGGACCCCCGCTCCCGCCCGAGACGTCCTCGCATTTTATTCAGGAATCGCGCTCTCGCTTGGGACTTCCTTACAATTTACTCAGGAATCGCTCTCCCGGCGCTCTAGAGTCGCGCTCTCGCTGGAGACTTGCTTGCAACTTACTGAAGAATAGCCTTGCATTGGAATTTCTTGCAATTTGCCCAAGCGCCGCGCTCCCGACACCCAGGCACCCAGGAGTCGCGCCCGTTGTGGCCCCATGTGCATGCCCTTCGTGACCCCGCTGTCGCCATTTGTGTCCCCCTCATTGTCCTACGTGGCCCAGTTGCTACCCTCAGTGGCCCCATAGTTGCCTTCTGTGGCCCCGCATTATCTGCACTTCGTGGCCCCCGCTCGTTCGCGCTCTTCGTGGCCCCATACGCATTCCCTTCGTGTCCCCGCTGTCGCCCTTCGTGGCCTACTTCGTGCCCTTCGTGGCCCTGTTGTCGTTCTCTCTCGCTTTCGCTCGTCGCCGTCGTCGTCGTCGTCGCCGTCGTCTTCGACGTCGTCGTCGTCGTCGTCGTCGTCGTGGTCGGTCCCCTGTCCGTCCCTCTTGGGATCGGGTCGACGGTCCGCGGCAGCCCCGCCGATCAGCGCTGCCGCTGGCCAGGCCGACGGTCCGCGGCCGCCCCGCCGCTTGCCGGGGCCCGGCCTGCAGGGAAGCAAGGTCTACCCCCCAAAAGGGGTTCAATCGAAGACGAAGAATGCGGGTATCGAGGGTTTGGGAAATACGCGTTATTGGACACTCGAGCATACAAGGGCGAACAGCCTTAAAACTATCGTTATTGTTGTTGTTGAACATTATTAATTCTAAAGAATAATTATTGTTGGGACCCCTGGTGCACGGCCCCCCTGCGCCGCCTAGGCCGCAGCTACATTTTCATCATTTTCGTGAGGAAGCCTCAGGTAATTCGATGTGATCAAGATCCGGTTGTTTTGTTCCCCCCCGCTTTCCCTTGCAAAAAACACTATAAAATGACATTTCTTGTTCTAATATAATCAAATTTCAAGAATCCCTTGCAAAAAATAAGGTAAAGTGGACATTCGCGCGCGCAAGACGAAATCCTTCCAAAACCTTAGTGTTCGCAGCGATTTTAACATAAAAACATCAAAAAACCAATGGTTTTTCAACAAAAAATTGTCAAAATCTCATCCCGCGCGCTCTTGCGGATTCGTAGGAAACCCAACACTTTTTAAACATTTCTGTCAAACGGGCTTTTGCGAGCAACTTTTTCGAACTTCTGCGACAACGGTTGCGCACCTGCCAGGGCCATCATCCCTGTCAAATAATACCATGCGGGACACCGTTCCCGCCCCTCCTCTCTCTTCTCTCCTTTCCTCCTTGTCCTGCTCCTCCTCCTCCTCCTCCTCCGGCGGGGGGCGTGAGGATCCGGCATCGCTCACAACCATCGGGACAACCATCGGGACAACCATCGGAACAACCATCGGGACAACCATCGGGACAATCATCGGGACAGTCATCGGGACAACGATCGGGACAAGCACAACCATCAGGACAACCATCGGGACAATCATCGGGACAACGATCGGGACAACCACAACCATCAGGACAACCATCGGGACAACCATCGAGACAACCATCGGGACAACCATATCCTCTCTCTCTTGTGTATTCCCACATCCCTCAGGAATTTGCCCTAAAGATGTGATCAACTATCTTGTGAGTACGTATCATGTGTATCATGTGTATCATGTACCATATGCATCATATGCAACAGATGTTCTGTGGAAGGCTTAACAACTTCTGTGGGTTAACAAGGCTTAACAACTTCTGTGGGTGTACGAACGTAGGCTTAACAACTTCTGTGGGTGTGTACTCCACGCCAGTGTAGTAGCCACGGTCGTCCGCAGGCCACGAAGTGAAGTGTCCGAACGTCATAGGGCGGGAAGCTGGGTGTGGGTGGTGGCGAAGAGTCGTGTGGATATTTGGTAGAGCTTGCACTGCCCCCCCACAAAGTGGGGGTATTGGCTGGCGTCGCATGAAAACCCTGGCACTGGTGAGAACACTGAGCGTTCGGGTAAAGTGATTGTTGTTGTTGTTGTTGTTGTTGTTGTTGGTTTTGTGTTGGTGTTGAACATTATTCCTTCTAAAGAATTATTATTGTTGGGACCCCTGGTGCGCGACCTCTGCGCCGCGCCTAGGCCGCAGCTACATTTTCATCATTTTTTCGCGAAAGCTTCAGAAAAGTGGATGAGCTCCGGATCCGGTTTTTTGTTGACGCTCGTTTTCCCTTGCAAAAAACAATAGAAAATGAAAATTCTTGTTCTTACTTGATCAAATTGCAAGAATCCCTTGCAAAAAATAAGGTAAAGTGGACATTCGTGCGCGCAAGACGAAATCCTTCCAAAACCTTAGGTTTCGTAACGATTTTAACATAAAAACATCAAAAACCCAATGGTTTTTTAAGAAAAAATTGTCAAAATGTCCTTCCGCGCGCGCTGTCCGAATCCCACAAAACCAATGGTTTTTCAACATTTATGTTACATGAGCTCGCGCGAGCTACTTTTTCTTGTTCTAACATAATCAAATTTCAATAATCCCTTGCAAAAAATAAGGTAAAGTGGACATTCGCGCGCGCAAGACGAAATCCTTCCAGAACCTTAGGTTTCGTAACGATTTCAACATAAAAACATCAAAAACCCAATGGTTTTTCAAAAAAAAATGTCCAAATTTCATCCCGCGCGCGCTGTCCGACTCCCACAAAACCAATGGTTTTTCAACATTTATGTTACATGAGCTCGCGCGAGCTACTTTTTCTTGTTCTAACATAATCAAATTTCAATACTCCCTTGCAAAAAAAAGTAAAGTGGACATTCGCGCGCGCAAGACCAACAAAAAACACGACGATCTCAGGAACTTGCCCCAAAAATGTGACCAACTCCGCTCTCTCTGTCTCTCTCTCTGTCTGCTCTCTGTCTCTCTCTCTGTCTGTCTGTGTCATGTATTGTATGTCACAATTGCAGGATGCTGGGCACACGCGCGCCCCGAATAAGTGACCAAGTTCTGTGGGTGTGTACCCCACGCCAGTGTAGTAGCCACGGTCGTCCGCACGCCACGAAGTGAAGTGTCCCAACGTCATAGGGCGGGAAGCTGGGTTTGGGTGGTCGCGAAGAGTCGTTTGGATATTTGGTAGAGCTTGAACTGCCCCCCCACGAAGTGGGGGTATTGTCTCGCGTCGCATGAAAACCCTGGCACTGGTGAGAACACTGAGCGTTCGGGTAAAATGATTGTTGTTGTTGTTGTTGTTGTTGTTGTTGTGGTGGTGGTGGTGGTGGTGGTGGTTGCTGCTGCTGCTGCTGCTGCTGCTGCTGTTGTTGTTGTTGTTGTTGTTGTTGTTGTTGTTGTTGTTATTGCTGCTGCTGCTGCTGTTGTTGTTGTTGCTGTTGTTGTTGTTGTTGTTTGCTTGTTTGTTCGTTTGTTTGTGCTTGTTTGTTTGTTTGGTTGTGGTGTTGTCTGTTGTTGTTGTTGCTGTTGCTGATGTTGTTAGTGTTGCTGCTGTTGTTGTTGATGTTGTTGTTGACCTCTCACTACTGGGGAATAATTATTGTTGATCCCCCCTTCTGGTGACCATTGTATTTTGTTCAATTGACGTGCTTCCCCGGGGCTCGCACCCTTTTTTTTATGAGGGAAAGTCGCTCTGCTCAAACTGTGCCCCTGGCTCCCGGCTTACAACAACAAGGGCTTCCGCCTGACACCTCCTCTCAATTTATTCCCGAATTACGCTCTCGCACGGGACCACCTCACAATTTGTGTACGACTCGCGCTCTCGCGCGGGATTTTCCCACAATTTATTCAGACGCTGCGCCCTCGGCGCTCAGACATGACGCTCTTGCTTTGGCTTTTCTTAAGATTTACTTGAGAATTGCGCTATCGCTCGAGACTTCCTCGCGATTCATGCAGGACCCACGCTTCAGCAACCCGCCTGCTCGACCTGGTCGCCTGGGCCCGCCTTCCCGACCTGCCCGCTATGGGTCTGCCCACCCGATCTGCCCGTCTGGTTCCACCAGTTGCTTTTTGCTCCCTGCCCCCCTCCTGCTAATTTCTCTCGTGCTCCATTCTTCTACCTCCCCCTTCCACCCGTGTTCTCTTCCCTTGGTTTAGGGGCTGTACTACAATGCACGTTGCAGTTGGGGAAGATCTACCCCCAAAGGGGCACGATCGAAGACGACGAGGGGGGGGGGCACCGAGGGCTTGGGATATACGAATTGGTATGGCACGTGACCAGATAGGAGCGAACAGTCTTAACATTATTGCTGGTGTTGTGGCTGTTGTTGTTGCTGCTGCTGTTGTTGGTGTTGCTGTTATTGTTATAGATTGTTGTTATTGTTCTTGTTGTTGCCGCTGTTGTTGCTGCTGCTGTTGTTTTATCCGTACTGTTTAAGAACAACTTCTGTTGATTCTCCCCATCCAGTAACCATTGCTTGTTCTATTGAAGTGCCTCCCGCGGGGCTCGCACCCTGTCTTTAAAGAGGGAAGGTGGCGTCACCAAACTGCATTGTTGGGCCCCGAACTACAACAACAACAACAATAACGGCTCCCGCATGATACGTCCTCCCACTTGATTCCCAGATCGCGCTCTCGCGCGGGACTTCCTCAGAATGTATACAGGAATCGCACTCAGGCGCCCTCGACACAGGAATCACGCTCTCGCATTGCCCTTCCTCACGATTTACCTGGGAATCGCGCTATCGCTCGAGCTCTCCTTTCGATTCATGCAGTACGCACGCTTCAGCAACCAGCCTGCTCGATCTGGCCGCCTGGGCCCGCCTTGCCGAATCGCCAGCCATGGTCTGCCTGGCCGGTCTGCCCGTCTGGTTATGCCACGTGTTTTCTGCTCCTATCCCCCCCCTCCTGCTACTCTCTCTCGTGTTCCATCCTCCCTCCCCCTTGCCCCTTTCTTCCATCCGTCCTCTCTTCCCCTGCCTCAGGGGCTGCACGAAATACACGTTGCAGGTAAGACATATGTACCCTAAGGGGGTACGATCGAAGAAGAAGAGGGCGGGTATCGAGGGTTTGGGATATACGTGGTGAATGGCCCGCGAGCAGATAAGAGCGAGCAATCTTAGAATGATTGTTGCTCTTGTTGCTGTTGTTGTCGTTGTGGAACCCTCACTACATAATAATAATTGTATTGCACCGGGTGTCTAGAGCTACGACCACTGTCTTTCGGCACGGCACCCCCTCCATCACCCACCCATTCCACCAGCCAGCGCGCCCCCAGCGCGCCCCCATCTCTCCCGCCCCATCCCCCCACCCACCAGCTAGCGCACCCCCTCCGCCCCGACCCTTTTATTTCGGCACGGCCTCCACCCCATCCCACGCGCCCCCTCCGCATCCCCCCCACCAGCCAGCGCGCCCCCTCCGCCCCGACCCTTTTATTTCGGTACGCCCCCCTCCCCCCCCACCCCTTCCCATCCCGCGCGTCTTTCCGCATCCCGCCAGCGCGCCCCCTCCGCCCCGAACCCTTTTATTTCGGCACGGCACACACCCCCATCCCCCTTTTATTTCGGCATGGCGCGCCCCCCCCCTCCCACACCCCTTTTATTTCGGCACGCCACGTAACTTATGAGGAGGTCCCGCTCTCACGCGGGACCTCCTTACAAGTTACGCAGAAATCTCGCTCTCGCGCGGGAATTCCTCGCAATTTATGCAGACGCCGCGCCCTCGGCACTCAGGAATCCATTCTCCCTTTCTGGGTTTCCTCACGATTTACTTGGGAATCGCGCTGTCGCTGGAGACTTCCTCGTGATCATGCAGGACGCGCGCTTCAGCAACCCGCCTGCTCGACCTGGCCCCTGGGCCCGACTTCCCGACCCGCCCGTTCGGGTCTACCCGTCCGATGTGCCCGTCTGGTTCTGCCACTCTTTCTGCTCATAGACCCACTCCTGCTACTCTCTCTCGTGCTCCACCCTCCCCCTCCCCCATGCCCCTTCCTTCCATCCGTCCTCTCTTCCCTTGCCTGAGGGGCTGCACGAAATACACGTTGCAGGTAAGAAAGGTATACTCTCAGGGGGTACGACGGAGACGAAGAGGGCGGGTACCAAGGTTTGGGGTACACTTGTTGAATTGCACGCCAGTAGATACGAGCGAACAGTCTTACAGTGATTGTGGCTGTTGCTGCTATTGTTATTGCTGTTGCTGTTGTAGTAACCATTTTGTATGTGTTCATGCAAGTGCTTCTTCCAGAGCTCGCACCCTGTTTTTTTCTGCATGGGCAAGCGAGGTGTCACCATTCTACGCCCATGGCTCCTGGTTTACAACAACGTCGGCTCCCGCGTAATACTTCCCCACAGTGTATTCCCAAATCGCGCTCTCGCGCGGGACCTCACAGTTTTACAGGAACGCGCTCTCGCGATGGCCTTCCTCGCAATTTGTTCGGACCCCGCGCCCTCGACACTCAGGAATCACGCTTTCGCTGTGGATTTTCTCGCGATTCATTTGGGAATCGCGCTATCGCTCGAGACTTACTCGCATTTCATGCAGAACGCACGCTTCAGCAACCCGCCTGCCCCATGCCCCTTGCTTCCATCCGACCTCTCCTCCCCTGCCTTAGGGGCTGCACGAAATACACGCTACAGGTAAGAAAGATGTACCCCTAAGGGGGTACGATCGAAGACGAAGAGGGCGGGTAGAAGGTTTGGGATCTACGTGTTGATTGGCACGCCAGCAGGTACGAGCGAAAAGTCTTGAAGTGATTGGTGCTGTTGTTGTTGTTGGGGTTGTCGATGCTGTTGTTGTGTTTGCTGCTGTTCTTGTTGTCGTTGACTTATCATTTCGAAAGAACAATCGCTGTTGATCCCCCTCCCCAGTAACCGTTGTATTTTTCAATTCAAGTTTTTGTTCCCAGGGGTCGCACCCCGTTGTCGACAAGGGAAAGCGAGGTGCCACCAAACTGGGTTGTCGGCCCCGTTTACAATAACAGCGGCTCCCTCCTCATACTTCCCCACGACGTATTCCCAGATCGTGCTCCCGCGCGGGACCTCCTCACTAGTTGCCCAGAAATCTCGCCCTCGCGCGGGAATTCCTCGCAATGTATGCAGACGCCGCGCCCGCGACACTCAGTAATACATTCTCCCCTTCTGGGTTACCTCACGGTTCATTTGGGATACGCGTTGTCGCTCGAGATTTTTGTTATGTGATTCACGCAGGACGCACGCTTCAGCAACCCGCTTGCTCGACCTGGCCGCCTGGGCCCCTCTCCCCGACACGCCCGTTCGGGTCTGCCCGACCGATCTGCCCGTCTGGTTTTGCCATGTGCCTTCTGCTCTTGGCCCCCCTCTCCTGCTATTCTCTCTCGTGCTCCATCCTCCTCCCTCCCCCTTGTCCCTTCCTTGAATCCGTTCTTTCTTCCCCTGCCTAAGGTGCTGCGCGAAACACACGTTGCAGGTAAGACAGATGTACCACTAAAGGGGGTACGATCGAAGACGAAGAGGTCTGGTATCGAAGGTTTGGGATCTACGTGTTGAATGGCCCGCCAGCTGATAAAAGCGAGCAGTCTTACAAGGAGTGTTGTTGTTCGCGTTGCTGTTGTTGTCTTTGCAGTTGCTGCTGCTGTTGTTTCTGCTGTTGTTGGTGTTGTTGTTAATGTTGTTGTTGTTGATGATGCTGCTGTTGTTGGTTTTGTTGTAGTGGGTTGTTGCTGCTGTTGTTTGTTAGGTTGTTGTTGCTGTTGTTTTGCTGTTTTCTATTGTTGTTGCGTGTGTGCTTGTGTGTGCGCGTGTGTGCTCATGTGTGTGGTTGTGTGTGTTTGTGTGCGTGTGCGATCGTGCGTGTGTGTGCGTGTGTGTGTGTGTGTGTCTGTGTGTGTGCGAGAGTCTGTGCTCGTTGTCTCTACACCCGCCGTTTGGCTCGGCATGCCCGTGGTGTCCATGATGGTCGGCAGGTGCACTGGCCGCTTGGCCGCCTGAGGCCGGGTTGCGGTGGCCCCCGCCCCTCCTCCTCCTCCTCCCCCTCCTCCTCCTCCCCCTCCTTTCCGTTCTCCCCCTCCTCATCATCTTGATCACGATCATCGTCATCATCATCATCATTGTCATCATCATCATCACCAGCAGCAGCATCACCAGCATCAGCATCAGCATCATCATCATCATCACCATCCTCCTCCTCCTCATCATCATCATCATCATCATCAACCTCATTTCCCTCCCTTCCTCCTCCTCCTCCTCTTCCTCCTCCTCCTGCTCTGTCTCCTCATCTCCTCCTCCTCCTCCTCCTTTTTCTTTTCCTCCTCGTCCGTAGCCATTTTGGCTAAAGGTTTTGTGTGCCCTGCGAAACACGTGGATACCGCTAGTCCGCGGCCAGCTTTCACTCGTATAGCCAGTGCCGCACTAGTTTCCTGGCGGCCCAACTTCCGTCTGTGAGTGGGTGCTTCTGGATGGCACTTAATGGCTTTCAGAAGAGGAGATTGCAGAAAGCTCAACCGGGGCTCTGCAAGTCGAACTCTCACGAACGGACAGGTGAACGTTGGTGGATTCATGCGAGTGTAAAGAGTTGCTCCACATGTAAGTGCTCGAAGGGTGCGTGCTTCTACGGGGACCGCGTCCAGGGCCATCCGTTTACGTCCGTCAAGCAGTCAGCCGATCGGCAGGCCGCCCAGGCGCGTGACGAGGGTCAGAAGCAACTTGAAGCACAGGCTCGAGAGATCGCAATGCTCAAGGGGGCGCTGGCAACCCAGTGCGACGGTGCCGCCATGGATGTGGACGGGCCCGAGCCAGACCAGGATGAGGTTGCGCAGCTCGTCGACGGCATCAAGAGCCTGGGGGGCTCCAAGCTTCCTGAGATTGTGGCGGCGAGGGATGCCCTCAAGTCCAAGCTCAAGGCTGCTCGCGCCAGGGCCTTACAGGTCAAGCCCATCGGGGCCCAGTTGCATGCGATCATCAACAAGTGTACGGCTCTGGAAAAGAATCGACATCGCCAGCTGGCAAAGCTTGCGAAGCTCCGTGAGCAAGCTGGCCAGCTCCAAAAGTCCATTGACAAGGCCCAGCAAGTGGTCGACTCAAGGGTCAAGGAGCTGGTCGAAAAGGAGGCTGTTCGTCGTGCCATGGCGTCGCAGGTCCCGCGGCCCGAGAAAGGTGTGCACTCGATCCGCGCAGTTATCTCGGGATCGACATTGATGCGGATGCCTTGGGGGAGATGTTACAGTCCCTCGGTGCCGATGCGAGCCTGTCCTGCAGCATCCAGAGCAACTTCGCAGCCCTGCGCCAGCTTGACGCAGCTGCGGCAGCGCGGAGTTCCCGACCCGCAGGTGTCTCGAGCGATGCTTCTGGCGGGGGAGGTGGTGCTCATATACCCGTTCCTGATGATGGTGTTCTTGCTGGGCCTGCTTTCCCTTCTGGCGACGCTGACCTGTCCGACCTCCAGGAGTTATACCGCTCAGCTTCTGGTGGTGGGCCTCTAGACGAGCCTGAGTTGCGTGCAGCCGTCAAGAGGCTTGGCGCGGCGGTCGGAGGCTGTGCCAAGAAGGCGAGGACGTCGGCATGATCTCACTGCCAGCTCATGGTGCTGTGGGTTCTCTGGTGTATCTGGTCTCCCTCGACTTCCTCGTCGGCTTCGCGAAGGCGGCTGTGGGCCGCGCCCCCCCTCGGCCCTGGACTGGCAACCGCCCCGTTTGGGAGGGGTGTGCGCGGGGGCAGTCGGGGGCTGCATAGTCTGAGGCCTGCCGCCTACAGCACAGGCGGCGGTTTTGGCAGTTGCGGGCAGCCTGCGATGAAACAGTGCCCGACACTGCATGGCAGCGATTGCAGTCCATGGCGTTCGCTTTTGCGGGCGTGTTCCCACGGGGTGTCCTGGCGCGTCCTGGACTTCCCTTGGGTCGTGGCAGAAGTGGTCAAGGATTGCCACCGCCTGGGGCCATCCGACAGAGGGCCTCCATCGGGGTCGCCCTGGTGGCGTGCTGCCAGGCATCTGCTGATGCGAGGCCCTGCAGGCGCTGTGGAAGGCGCCTGCCACCGATTAACTTCGTTGTTTCGTGGTCGTCGCTGCCGGCCAGCTCCCGTCCTGCGTGGGCACGCAGTCCGCTGGGCGCGGTGCTGGCAGTCTGCTTACCTGATAGCGCGGCGCCGTGTGCGGGCGCAGTGGCGGGCGTAGCGACGTCCACTGCTCGGTCGACTCCACGGGCGCATCTGGACATGGTGATGTAGTTTGTGGCCCTGGCGATGCGGAAGGGGCCTAGCGCAGCACATTCACGCGGCATCCGTGGCTCAGCGTCGTCGCGCCAGCATCGGGTCCGCAGAGCAAACATTGGTAGCCCCAACGTGAAAGGGCATGTGGTGACTGCCAACACCTCCCCCCATGGTCCACTGGTGGACCTTTTCGCGTCTGCGGTTGTTGACAGTGCCGTCGTTCTCGCCCGAGAGCACCATGCCGCTGGGCCGAAGCTTGCTGAGTACTCCGCAGTTCGGTCAGAAGCTATTTCCTCGGACATGGGCGGCCAATCTGGCGGGGTCGCCGTTTTGGCTCCATCTTGGTTCCTGGCATTCGAATCGCCCAAGCCTATCACGAAGGATGTGGTCCCAGGGCGAGTGGTGGCTGGCGCGCTGCACTGGGGGCGACCTGGCGGCACGGTGATGCTGAGTGCGCATCTTGAAGTTTGGATCGGACTGAAGGGCGCCAACGTCGATGTCCTGGAGCCCATTGTTTTGGCGCCTCAGATGATGAGCGAGCTCGGCATCATTTGGCTGGTTGGTGGAGATTGGAATTCTGATACCCCGGAGCTGGGCGATTGGTTTCTCGCAGTGCGAAGAGCGCGCGCTGCCAGCATTGACCCGCCCGCGTCCAAGCGTTGCCTGGTGCAATAAGGGACTTCTTATTTATATAGCCGATCACATGATCCCTCATGTTGGTGTACCGAGTGTTGGTGAGGGTGCAGATGTGTCTCCGCGCCGCCCTGTGTCCTCGCCTGTCGCCGCCGCGGAGCACGCGCCGTCGCGTTCCTGATGGGCCCGGGCCTTTCCCAGTGGAGCCCAAGATCGGGCGTCGCAGATGCCCCCCTGTTCGTGAGTGGGAGCAGGTCCGCAATCACTTTTCATCTGCTACCGCGGCCGATGAGCTTGGTGTGCGTTGGGGCGCAGTTATCTCGGGAGTGGAAGCTGAGATTTTGGACCGGAGCGGCATCCTTGAGCGACGCGCCCGCGCGCGTCTGCTCGGCAGGGCTGGGCCCGCACAGTATGAGTGGATCGATGCGAAGAAGCCCGGCCCCGACAAGCCTACGAAGCTTGCGGCCTGGAAGGTGGTGCCTCGATGGTTGCGGCACGTTCGATCAGTCTGGGCTCGCATGGCCCACGCCGCATCAATCCTGGGGGACGATGACAACGGCGTGAAGGTGATGAACCTTTCCAAGCAGCTGTGCTTCTGAATCGGATTCGCCCGTCGAGTGCGACAGCGTGAGTGGGTGTTGCAGTTCGTGTCTGGGCGAGTCCGTGGTTTCCTGGTGGACCTGGTGCAGGGTCTTACTGCGCCTGACTTCGACATGCCGGTGCAGGTTGCGATCGATGAGGCTCAACAGCAAGTCGACGAGTGCGCGCGCTCCTCGAATGCCGAGTGGAAGTCGTGGGCTGGGAAGGCGTTTGCATTTGGAGCTGCTGCTGCCCATGCTTTTCACGGCTGAAGGAGTTGCAAGACATGGTGGCGTATGCCAACAGACCCTGACCGTTCCAGCGCGCCGATGATTGTTTTACGCATCGGGGCACTATCTGGTCTACGCATGGATGTCCTGCAGCCGAGCTACCAGCTGTATCAAAGGACTGGCAAGCGTTACCTCCTATCAGTGGCGCAGATGTTCGGACGGCGGCAAGGAGCTTCCCTGCCAAGACGGCACTAGGGCAGATTGCACGGACCCCCGCTGCCTCGAGGCGGTCTCCGACATCGGCCTTGACGTGCTGGCGGAGCTGTTCATGAGGTGCGCGGCCTTGCTCATGTAGCCGCGCGACCGCATCCAGACCCGCCTGGCCCGCTTAGGGGGCCCTCAGGTGGGCGCCGGCTGGTCGCGCTGTCCAACTATTTTATCAGGTTGCGGTGCCGTCTGCGGCTCGTTTCGCAGGAATGGGGGCGTTCCCATCGCCATTTGCTTTCTGGGGAGGTGGCCCTGCGGGGAGCTCCTCAGACGCTGCGTTCGATCATGACGTGGTGGCGGAGTCGGCGGTTGCTGTGGGTGAGTATTCGGTTGGCGTGTTTCTCGAAATGCATGAATGCTATGAGTGCATCATCGTAGGCCGCCTGTTGACCGAAGCCCAGATGCTGGGACATCCCTTACGGATGGTGTGGGTGGTGGTGTGTTCGTACCGCTTGCCCCGTATGGCCCAGGCGTTCGCGTCGGCTTCGTGTTGCGGCGCCTCTCACCAAGGGATCCTAGCGGGCTGCGCCCGCGCTAACTTTATGATGCGTGTGCTTCTGCGCAGGGCGGTGGCCAGGATGTGCCGCGCCCGTCGCGCTGTCCAACCTCGCGCCCGCACCTGCGACTTCATCCAGAATCCTGTGGGTCGGGCAGCGTCTCGCCGAATGCGATGTGCTCCCGGCTGCGGTGCGATGGTACTGCGAGCAAGTTTTTTTAACATGGGCCTGACCTTGCAGGCCATGAAGAGTGGGTGCGCGGCGACCGCCGCGAGAGCGTCGTTGAGAGCGTCGTCGTCTGCTCGTATCTTGAGATGGCGTAGCCTCGCCCGCGCGAGAAATTTCGGGCAAGAGGATTGTCTGCCAGGTCGGCCCGCCAGGATGATGGCGCGGACCAGGCTGGACAAGATGTCAAGTAGACGGGGCAAGTTTGCCGCCCTGGGGCGCTGCGCGCTTGGAAAGGCGCGCGTGCTCTGGAGAACTGGCCTCGCCCCTGCTGCTGGCCGCGGGGCGGGGTTTAGCTGGCTGGCGGGCCCGACAGTGGTGAAGCGGCGGTCCATTGCGGGGGCCTTAATGGGCGCGAAGCGGACTGGATCCCTGTCCACGCGACTCGCTGCGTGGCCTGACCCGCTTTATGAGCTTATGTTTGATGCCGCCGCCCCTTGAGTTCAAAGATACGCAGGGCTGTTATGGGATGCCATGTTCTCCTTAGGACGGTTGCAGAGGGCCTGGATGGCCGTGCGAGATGCGACAGCTGTGCGGGCCGCGTGGAACGACTCCCCAGGCCCGACCAGTGCCGTGCTATTATCGCCTCGCCGTGTCAAGTGGGATATGGCTGCGGCTCATGCTATCGTCGCAGATGAGGGCATGGCCATTGACCTGCTGCAGTCGGCCCCGCATGGCATTACAATCGGGTTGCGTGCTGGTATCCAGCGGTTGCAGGCTCGCAGGATGCTTGCTCATCTCACCGAGATGGGTGCCAATGCTACTATGTGGCTTTGTCGTGCTCGCAATGCTGTCCTTCGAATTCGTGACCACGCGTGGTGGGGGGCTCCCCGCTGCCTCGTAGGAGGAGCAATGTGGCCGCCCATCCGTAAGTTTGCTGCAGGCTATGCCGACAATGGCAGGTGTCAGTTTTGCTTGCAAAATGCCGTCGGGTCGCCTGGCCACCAGATATACGATTGTGAGCTCGTGCTTGATCATGCCAGGTCCCAGGACCCAGTTCCCGATGACATCCTGGAGCGCAGGTCGGAGCTTAAGGATAAGGTTTTTTCCCAGATTGAGTCTCGTGTGAGGTCCTGTGTGGTCTCCCGTTTGCTCCGCGCCAGGTTGGCCCCGTTCCCGAATCGCTCGCCGCGTGCTCCTGGGGTGCGACCGAGGCGCGCTGGGAGCGGACTATCTACGCAAGCGAATCGGGACTGGCGGCCTCTAGTCCTGCATTGTGCAGGCGTGGACGGGCTGCTGTGGTGTTGGCCCCCAGCGGCCCCCCCGTCAACGCCGTGCACGGCGCCCTCCCTTGTCGGCACCAGTCGGTGCCTCGGGCCGAGAGGGCCCCCGATATACCAGGCGCTTCGAGTTGGCCCTTTGGATGTTCGGATTGTTTCGGGCAATCTCTCTGCGGTCAAGGAAGGTGAGTCTTCAGCTGGCCATGAGTGGGTCCAAGCACGGGTGTGTCTGGCGAAAAGGTGTTTGCTCTCTATGAAGGTGATGGCCTCCGCCCCAGTTTCAAGAGGACCCCCTCCCACCGTAAATTGAGGTTCTGGAGTTCGAGGCCTCGGAGATCACAGAGTTTCTTTGTAATTTGTGGGCAGACTGTTTCGCCCGTTTGGGGGCGGGGTCTGGTCGCGAACGCTCTAGTAGAGCATCAGGCTGCCTGTGTGAAGTCCACGCGTCTGACTTTCGATTTCCTGGCGAGGTTCTCGCAATTGATCGCTGCGTTGGCTCAGTAGTCCTCAACCTCGTTTCGCCCTGCTGCGGGCGCTGCTTCCAGGAAGGTCGCTAAGGACCCTTTGGTCCTGCTGCAGCACACGCGGTTTCATTTCCCCAGACGGGTGAGTGGCGTTGCAGTGCATGTAATTTGCATGCTGGCACACCCACCCCCCTTGCTCAACTCATGACGGGCAGCAGGAAGGCTTGTGGGCCGTCCACGTACCAGCGGTGGCAAGCCCGAGATGTTTTTGCGGACACGGATGGGGATCCCGTCCCACTCTCGTCCGGTGGGGCGCCTCTAGCCATGCGTGGTGCGGGGGAGGTCCTGGGGCCCATGTCTGAGGCAGAGGCGCCCCCCCGCCTCCATCTTGCAGGAAAGATTCAGGACCCTTGGGCACCAAATCGAACAGTCTGGGCGTGTGTTGTTTTGCTCCTTTTGCGCTGCGCATGCGATTCACCCTGGAGGCAATCTGCGGGGTCTGAGTGCGAAGTGCAACGGTCGGTCTGAACACTCTTCTGCTAAGAGTAGTCAGGCCTTGAAGGTTAAGTATGCTGTCCAGGGCCTTCACCCCCACACGGGCAAGGCCCTGGATCTTGTCTAGTTCTGTGGAGGGGACCCTGTCGGTCCGTGGCCAGGCTCAGTCAAACCTGCGCCGTTGGGCGCAAAGTTGATGGGCCCCCCTCTGTACTGCCGCACACGTTGCTTTATGCCGTGTGCCTGATTCCTGATGCGGTCCCCCTCTTAGTCGGGCGGTTACGACTCGTTCCTGCCTTGGCTGCTCGCTCGCTCCCTCCTCTTTCTCCTCCTCCTCCTTCTCCTCCTCCTCACTTCCTCCTCCTCTTCTCCTTCTGCTTCCTCCTCCTCCTCCTCCTCCCTCCTCCTCCTCCTCCTTCCTCCCTCCTGCTCCTCCTCCTGCTCCTGCTCCTCCTCCTCCTCCTCCTCCTCCTCCTCC